CATGTCACACAAAGAGGATATCTTGATTATTTGGCCATTCGATTCGGTTGTCCTCCCCCTAACCCTATCTCGAAATCGCGCCTGGCATCGCCTGTTCGTGAAACGAACTCAAGTATCTTTGAAATTTTTAACTACAAATTAGTTTTTGTGCGATATTCCCGCTTACCGTTTCGCTTGAATTGCGACAACTTTACGCATTGCATACTTTGCGGCGCGCACAAATAGCTATCATTTTGCAAGTTTCTTTCTGCTATTTAAGATAAGTTGGCCCACACACACGCACACACACAGAGACTGAGAAATGTTATTGAAGTTTAACTCTTGTTTGTAATAAAATAAAAACATTTATAACCGCAAAAGTTTTGCCTAGCATCAATTCTGAGTTAATTTTGCATAACAAAAAAGTTTATATTTTCGTTTCAGGCTCATAGCTTTGAGTGTGTGTGTGCCTGAGTGTGTGTGTGCGTGTGCGTGTGTTTCGCATTCGCCACAACAATGCCACAATATTTCTCATGTGTAAATTAAATGAAATTTCAGTAATTTATTCGCATGGAATTAATTGAATTCAACGAAAATTGCATTCACTCCGTGGACATGATGAATATTTTTTAATGGCATTTTTCGTAATTGATTTCAAACTGCAAGTCAAATTTTGACAGCATATTAAATTAACAGATATGCGCTGCAAAATCACATAAGGTAGCATGCGATATGCGATAATATCAAATTCCATATAGAAAATTACAAGCAGCTGTCTATGGACTGCGTTTATTTAAGAGGGAAATGCTTTCCATTTTGATATCATCTGTTTAATCGGTTGGCTAATCGTTGTATGCAGACCTTAAGCTGCTTACATGATGTTGTTGGGCTTAGAAGAAGATTGCGCGACGTCAGGTTTGCTTTAATCCTTTTTTTATTTAGCTGTCAGAGATTTGCGGACATCAAAAGCTGATGATAATAACAACAAGAACCTGTGCAACCGCAATACTCTATACACAATGAAATAAGAGCTAAAAACATGTGCTAGACTTTGAGTTTGAGGTTTCCAGCTTAAATTAGGTCTACAGAAAAAAAATTTAAAGAGACAGACAGATTAAAAGCCAATATACTTTATATTCCCTTGAAAAGAAGAGTACATTTAAATATTGTACTTTTTGCAAAATGAATCAAAATATAATAAGACAAAATTTAGAACTATATTTAAACAGACAAGCCGACCAAATACTAATATTTTTTTACTATTATTCCGACTGAATACATATATATTATTATGTTATATCATATCTAGGCAGTCAGGCAGATCATAAAACCTATATTACCTATATAATGCATTCGAGTAGCGAACAGTTTGGACTACTAAATTAGACTTTAATCGGAATGAAATCATAAACGATATCAAAATAAAACCAGGCAATATCTGTTTTAATATATTTATGTGCTTACAGCAGATTTACCCAGTTACCCAGTTTTCTTTAAGTAGTCATATTCAATTACCTTTCTCCCTTTCGCAGTTCTCAGATAAAACAATCATATGCGATTTAATGCGAGCTCTGTAAACTTGAGCCTGTCTCTCATTCTCTCAAATATGCCCAACTCTTTTCCTTTATCGTACTCTGGCCTGACTATGCGTTCTTTAAGCAATCAAATAAATACATAAATTTATAAAATCATAAAATGCCTGCCTAAAAGTATGCTTTATGCAGTTAAATGGAGTATTGTGGGAGATTTTCGGAACAGCTTTAGGCAGGCGTCAGTTATTAATTCGGTTATGGAAAAGTACATATTAATTAAGTTGTGCAACAGTAAAATTGCATGCATATTCAATACACGCATGCACTAAGCTGATATTTAATTTTATTATACACAATTAATTGGTCGAAATGGCAGAGAAAAGGGGTTTGCATTCGAAATAGAATGGAACCCAATTAAATATGCGCCACAAAAGTATGCTATGAAAAACAAAAATAGCAATTGAAACAGAAACAGTTTTCCATGCGGTGTAGGCGGGACGGGGCGGTGTGGGCAGTAGGATTAGGCCAGGCACACCGAAAAGTATGCTGGCGCCGTAATGCGGTAAAATTAGGCTGAATGTCATTTTCCGAAATTCATGCGGCAGTTACATAAAAGCCCATTAAAGACCCTTGGCCACTGGGCGTGGCATAGTTTATGGCATTTTAATCATTTAACAACGCTTTGGTTTGCAGTCAACATGCAAATTGCTGGGCGAGCTACGGAACAAACCAAACAGACCGAACCGAAGCCAGGAATACAATAAAAATTGCCTATAAATGGGCGGAAGGGCAGAACCTAAGGGAGTTAGGCTTGCGCCAGCGACTGTGGGCGTGGGCATGGGTGCGAGTGTACTCAATGCCAATGGCATGAATATAGTCGTACGCACAAGGACAGCAGCAAAGAGAAGGACAGCAACAGCAGGAGGAGGAGGAGGAGTAGCAGCAGCATCAGCAACCGGAACGTCAGTCAAACAGAACAACAACAAAGCGAAACTTCCGCATAGGATGCGAGGAAACGGAAGTTATTTTGGTCGTTTAAACGTACGGATCTATCTCATCTATTTGTGCTGCTATCTGCTGCTGATAATGGCAGCAGCTGGCAGCAACAATGTGGTAAATGGACTCAAATGCTACTGCAATCCCAAGGAATGCGATGTCATACGCGCCCTAGACTGCCCCGGCAAGGGCCTAATGCTCTGGGATCCCTGCCAGTAAGTTACACTCGACTCCACATAAATATCATTCATTTTATGCGATTCGGTTCGATTCGTATTCGCATGTGTGTGTGTGTTTGTGTGTACTTGCTCTAATTCTATATTCAATGTGCAGATGCTGTCGCATTTGCGCCAAAACTCTCGGCGAATCCTGCGGCGGACCCGGCGGCTTTTCCGGCCAATGCGAGCCGCCCCTTCAGTGTGTCACCAAATTGCCCATTAGCAGCGGCTTGGGCGTGTGCATGGGTAAGCAGCGAGTGCAAATATTAACTCATAAATAAATATGAATAGCTAATTCCAATATGCAAATACGAAACGGGTTTAACGTTTAGATAAACATAATAACATTCCATTTACCAACTACCATTAAATATACTAAGCGATAATCCATGATTAAGCGCAGAACAGAGAATAAAGAAATTTCTATAAGCAAATAAAGTTAATGAAATTGGAAAATTGGAAATTAGGTTAAAATTGAATAAACTGCGCTTTTGCATATTTATATTTTAGCCTGAATATACTTCATAGACATACGCGTCTAATATATGGCCCATAATCAATTGGTGTTGCTTTTCTTCCGCCAGATTTGCAACACCTGACAGCGCTGACATTTAATCAGCTTAGCAACTGCACGCAGAACGAGTCCATTGTCTTGGAGCCGGGCTGCGAGATAACCAATAAACGCTGCCAATGCTGGCCCTCGATGCGCACCTGTCTTAGCCAGTTGTCCAGGGATGGCGGCTCGCCAAGCAATTCCCGTTGGCATTTCAAAAATCTCGAGGTATATTCGTATATAACATATCTCTCTGGTGACAATCATTAATATTTCTTTGCAGGACTGCCAATTGAATTTGCAAAATCTCATTAAACTCGAATTGGAATTCGATGAAGACTATAAAATCTCACCGAGCAAATTTACATACAAAAAGCTGCGCAGAAAGCGAAAATCGTTGAGAAAACGCCTGTGAGTTAACACATTTTATATAATTTAATTATATTCATTTAAATTCTATTCCGTGCAGCATCATTTTGGAGGATGGCGACACCTCGCAGGCCATATAAAAGTCTCTCTTTCTCATAAATACAATTCTTGTACAGATAGTAATGCTTACTTCTATGAAATGTGGCTAATATAAATATGATGATAATAAACAGCATATGCATATACAAATACAAACAAACATATAAATATAAATACATATACATATACATATATATATATATATATATATATATACATACGTGCATGCATCGGGTATGGCAAATATAAACTATTTATTGTATGTAATCCCTAAGACATTTGTTACTTTATTGTTTTTAACAAAATATGTGCGCATACATAATGTATATAATATACATTGCGAATTTCTATTCCTAAACTAAAGACAAAACAAACAAGCAAACAAAAATAACTAAACAATAAAATTAAAAGCATTTTACGAATGTTTTTGCTTTCAAAAATAATGCGATTATGGCAAAGCATCGAAAATTGAAATTAAAATTGAAATAGATATATATATATATATATATATATACTATACATATACATGCATATATATGGCCTAAAATGGATGTGTTATATTTTTTGGGTGCGCTTTTGTAGTTTCTTATGTACAAGCTTTTTAAATTAATTATTTAAATATAACTTGAAATGTTACAATAGTTGTTGTTCCTGGTGATCTGTACTAATTTTAAAAAGTTTAGGCTCTAGAACTGAATGTTTTTTGTTCTATAGTACACTAAAAAACTATTTCTTCAATAAATTTCGCTGCTTGTAAAACTTTTTTTCATTTCAATTTCGCGCCAATGTCAACTATGCTGATAAGCTGATTGCTATGGAAAAAGTTACCCGTTTCACAGTTGCGGTTAAGGCAAAAAAACGTATGCGCTTTACAACACTGAAGAAATTCCTGCTACAATTCGCCGCGCCACAGCCTCAAAGTACACAGATTCATTCGCCGCTACAAACACACATTGCATACTTTTAGGCTTTCCGACTTATATCAAATCTGTTTTGCGCGTAAGTTGAACACCCTGTTCTTAAAGAAAATGGATGAATGGCTTTAACTCGGGCATTAGAAGACAACTTGTACTCTATAAATAAAGTATATATGCTATTGATCGGATTCAACAGCCAAGACGATCTGGCCATATCTATCAAAGCCGTTTCAAAATAGTCAAAAATCCCGCTTCTGTTCTTTATTATGCTAAGCGTTTGTTTTTGTAAGAGTATATGCATGTCTGTACTCATAAAATGTTTAAGAAGAAGCACATTTCAATGGATGATTTTGCCGACAACAAGGACATCGGCAACAACATCATCAGCTTTTATTATTTTCAGTCGTAGCAGATATGTCAATTCGGGCAAATTTGGTGGCAGTTCATCGGCAAGTATCGTATAGTTGCGTATTGCATAGAGCTTCTTCTAATATTAAAACTTGGGTATTACAATATATTATCTAATAAAAAAGCAATTTGTACTCACGCCGCGAAGTGGACATTTTTTGGGTAAATTGCTAACACTTTGAATACGTTTAAAGAACTTTCCGTAAATATTGTTGCCGTAGATGGAGCCCAGAAACTTGCAGCCATCGAGTTTATTGTTCGCTAGGTTTAGTTTGCTATTATCCTTTTTGAGCAGATCCATTTGAAAGACTATGCTGAACTCATTCTGGGTTTCGTATAGACTGAAAAAAACAGATACGGCGGGAGCAACGCGCTTACGGTGCAGGATACAGGTTAGTTCTTTCCCAATTGTGGGATCAACAATAACACAGGTAAAGTTGTGCAGCTCTATTGTAAAGGGTCGCTGTGGGAGGTAAGAAAAACTATTAAATGTAATCCCTAATGAGATAATATAAATCAAATTCGATGCCCACCTTGCCTTGAGCAAGGCTCCACAGAGTGAGAAATAGCGGCCACTGCCAAGCGCGATAATCCATTTTGTTTGGCAAAAAGACTCCGTTTAAACAGCTCAACGCAGCCGGTTTTATAGAATGGGAAAGCTAAAAAACGACAACAAATAAATAAAATTCATTTTAATAGAGCAAAATTATAATGAATGTAATGTATATTTAATATCTATATTGATAAGCAACGAAATTAATTGTTCAATGCATCATTAACATTTGTCGTTTCGTTAGTTGTTTCTTTTTTTTAACAAAACAAGGGTTAATTTTAATTTATGGAACGAAATTGTGAGAAAGCTTCTGAGTCCATTCCATCCGATAGCTACAGAGAATTTCAATCAGAAATATTTGTTGGATTAGCTGGGTTAAGACTTTAAGGCACAATTTGTGAATATAATTTTAAAATATTAAAAGCCAGGTTCTAAAATTCCGGAATAACCGTTTCACATTTTATCCTTTTTACGGAAATCCTTTAGCAGCATTTCGTACGAAAATCGTTTTGCAACACTAGGGGAAATTTCTGAAACATTGCGCGCCTCAATTTAAATTAAATTCGCCGTGCCTATTCAGATATTGAATCATACGATATATTGCAGTAGGACAAATTGTGGAACTATTTTATGTTGATTCCCTGAGCCCAATAAAAAGGAGTAAAAGTCCATAGACTATTAAATTGCAATTAAACTTGTTTGTTATCAAATATGGTTTGCCCTTCATTCCATTCCCTTACCATCCCTTAAATATATCTCTTTTCGAAAAGAATTAGGTGAGCAGATTCTCGGGGAGCATATATACAATACGAATGTTGTGTAGTGTAGTGGTATGTGAGACTAGAATCAACTTTGCTGTTGATGCTCATCTTGAATTTATATACGTTATGGGGTGGCGGATGAACTCTTCTATGCGTTACACATTTTATTACAAAATTATAATACTCTCTAGGTTGAGAGAGGGTATAAAAAATACACTTTAAAACAAATTGCAATACTCCTGTATAGAGACAGGAATAAAGAGCGTATAATTGATCAGAGTCCTTTTAATTTACAACAGCCGCCTCAATGAAGACATCGCCAATAGTCTGATCAAATTTCAATATTTTTAATCGCACGTGGTATGTCAAGGCGGGCATTGCGACAGGAATTTTGTCCAGTGTAATTGTTTAGTTGCGTATCTCAAAGAGTTTGTTCTAAAAGCCAAGTAATTTGATTTGTTATTTTTTGTAATAAGAACATTACACTACTTACGGCCTGAACCGGGCAGTTTTTGGGCAAATTGCCCAGTTTCTGCAGCCTGGTGAATATCTTGCCATAAAAGTTGTTTTTAAACGCGGACCTCAAGTACTGACAGCCATCGAGTTTGATATGAGCTACGCTCATTTTGGTGTTATCCCTTTTCAGAATATCAAAGTCCACCAGGACACTAAACTGTTTGACTGCCTCGTTGAGCTTGAAGCGCACGCTCATGGAAGGATCGTTGCGTTTTCTATTGAAAATGCAGCTGAACTCGTTCGTAATGGCAGGCACAAGGGCCACGCAGCTGAAGTTCTTGAGCGCCACAGTAAAAGGACGCTTTGTGAGTATAGTGAAAGTAAAAATGGAGAATGTTTAACTTAATCGGGAAATAAGTTAATTGCCTACCTAAGCCTGACCAAGTGCCAGTAGAGTCAGCATTAAGAGCTGCCACAGGCAAGCGCGGTTATTCATTATTTTTTAAAAAAAGAAGTCAGCTTGAAAGCGATTGTCAATGCTTTTTATACAAAAAAATAATCTAGATGACTTGCATAATAAACAAATATGTTGGAGCTTAATGAACTTTTAATGTGTGCATTAAAATAGTATACTAGATATATATTGGGTTAATTTATTGCACGTTTCAAATTGTGTCACAATTAGTTGTATTTGTATTTCTAACAGAAATCAATTACGTTGAGTTATATGCAATAATAAATATATTTCACCGATCAAGCTCGAATCTGGAAACCCACAAATCGAAACTTAAGCTAAACGGAGCTCCAATTTGTATATGTCTACTTTGCCTACTTTTAGGCAGCTTGTGTTTAGCAATTCGAAAGAATTGTTTTATTGTTTTTTGATTCTAACTTGTAATCAAGTTCTTAACATATATTGTAGACTTCTGTAGATCACAACATTTATGAATATAATGCAGTATGACTCGATTTTCGGGCAAACAGACAAAACTTGTGGCAGTCAAGTGGGGTCAGTTATTCAAAAGATCAAAGATTTGGCGCTTAAGTGTTTTTTGGAGTGGCACGCCGTGTTGTAGAATTGAAACAGAGTTTCGTTTATTGAGTTGTTATACTTTGGATTTTGTTGCTGTGCTTGGAGTGCGTTACAAATGATGTTGCGCACCTTTGTGGAGCAGACAAAAGCAATTAGACGCCGTCTTTTGACAAGCTGAATGAAATAGTTGCTGCTCGAGATCGAGTTGAAGGATTGAGGATTGAGGAATGCCAAGAAGCAGACGTTTATCGACTGGCCATAGCTCGGGCAGCTCGGGCAGCTCGATGTCGATGTCGATGTCTAACTGCCAATGAGTCGTCAAGAGTGCGGGGAGGGGCTACTGTGGCAAGCGCCGCACAATGTAGAAACTCGAGTGGAGATGGCAGTACAAAAAAGGTGTTAAAAAATTCTATCTTTTTATGCTCTCAATATGATTTGATGGACATTTACGATATGAGGCAAAAATGTTTTTATGCCAGTTGGCTTTGTTTTGTTTTTCTTTCTTTATTTGATTTTATATTATTTTACTCTTTCCCTGTGCCCGCCCCACGCCTATTGTTTCGGTTGTTTGACAAGCGATGCGTACAAATCAAAGCAGGCAACAAAACTGCTGGACCCGGCGCTGCTCGGCCGACTCTGGACTCGGTATCGCCACGAATCTCTTGAAGCTCGGCTTGTTTGATTAATAGCCGCACAATTGATATGTTAAGTGGTAAATTACGCCATTGGCACGCAAATGTGTCGCCCCGATAGACTCGACAAACGGCCAAATTGCTGTTCGTTTAAGGCGCCGCTAAGGTGCCAGCCTACCGGGCCGATCTCGATCTTATCTGGCAACCAAAAGGCGGAGCTACGTGTGCACAAAGTGATTTAATTTTGAATGGAGAAAGTTAAACAGCCGCTGCCACAATTATTCAATTACCCAAAGATCTAGTGGGCAGACTCAAATAACTCTATTTCATTTAGCTTCGATTTCGAATGGAAAACTCCACATGCCATCGAGTGGGGCTGAGCTGATGCCTAAATTAATAGCCATTAGTCCAATTTTAACACGCTTTTGGGCAGCAGCAGCAGCAGCAGCAACAACAATAACCGTCTATTTGGAACTTTATGGTCTCATTTATATAATTTAATAAAACTCAGAAAGGCAAAAAAAATACATTAAAGAAGTGAAAAAATGCACAGAAAACCATTTGAACCTTTTTGCATATTCCAAATACAATAGAGAATGTCATTAAAATTTTGCCACGCCGTAAAAGAAATCGATTAAAACACGAAAAATGGGAAAAAAAAGAACACACACAATCGTTGAAGTGTTATAAAAATCATTTAAATGTCGCAATCGCCATAGAGTTTTATGGCCTAGTCTCGTATGGCTGGGAGACTCGGGTCTACCCAGGCTCAGCCAACGCCGAATGCTCAACTAAAATGATTTAATTTCGAAACGTGTCGTGCACATTTTATGATCAATTTCTATATAAATATATATACGCTATATATACGTTTGTATATGGGTTGCCCATTATTGTCACTGTATATTTCTAATCGATTTATTTATATATTTTAAGACACGATATGGAAGGCGCTTGCTCTCAGCTTTTAGCTTAAAATATTCTCGATTTACTTAAAAATCTTATTTATTTTGATTAAATGAACTTTAGAATAGAAAAGCACAAAGCAGTTGCCCTAATGTTATGCAAACATGATTTATATGTTGAATAAGAAAATAAATTGGCAAAAACCAAACAAAAAATCACATATTACATAAACTCAAAGAAGTTCTCCAGCTTTGTCTATTAATGCGTTTTTTACAACTTTATCTTTGTAGAAGATCAAGAGAGTTGCCCTTATTTCGAATTTATTTAATGAAATTCTCAGCAGAACCCATAAATAAAGTAAGGCAAATTCTCTAAGCAACTTGTTGAAGTGTCATAAATAAAGCGAGAGCCAGCCATTGGGCCCTGGGCCAAAGCACCAGAGCAAAAGCTGCATAAAGCGCTTCAAGTGGTTGTCATTTAATAAACTACACACATCTGCAGCTGTGCATGTGTGTGTGTGCTGTGTGTTGTTGTGTGTCTTGTGTGTGCCTGCCGATTGCTGTTATATGATTTCATATATCATCAACATACGCTGGAGACGACCAACTCAGAGGAAGCTCTCGGCTCTCGCTGCTCACCCAACATAGGGCTGCCAGGCCGTTGTCTGTCTGACTCTTATCCCAATGCGCCCCGCCCCTGCCCCTTGGCACACCCTGGCCGACCAACTGCTTTCCCCCCTGGCTAGCCATTGAACAACTTGTTGAGCATTGCGCAGGCGTGCGGCATTTAGTTCAGGCTGTCCGCGTGCGCCTCTTGTTGTATTTTTTGATAACATTTTATTGTCCGCTTTATAAATTATTGGCGTTTGCCTCGTTCCCAGTTGCCAGTTGCCGGTTACCCAGAGGGGGGGGGCACGGCGGGTCTGGACTGGGTTTGGACTGGACCAAAAAGTATCCTTTTACGTGCACATTTTTTGGTATGCAGCGTGTGTCCAAATTTGTGCAGCGCAAATAAATACTAAAGTATATACTTAGACCCCCGTTCAGTTCAGTTCAGTTCAGTTCCGTTGGATTCGGTTCGGTTCGGGTTCTTGACGGCTCCGCACGGTTCTGTGTTGTTGGGCTGTGCGCGTGTTTTGGCCTTTTAGGGCTTGTCGCCCAACATAAAATTGAGTGTTGTTCTCGTTATTGTTGTTGTTGTTGCTGTTGGTAGTGTGAAAGTTGCTTTAAATATCGAGTAGCTGGTAGCTGAAAGAGTTGGCGGCTGCGAGGAGCTGCCAACAAATCAAACCATTTATGTCCGATCCTCGATCACAGCTCAAAAGACGCACATTCATCATCGTCAAGTGGCAGCAACAATTCAGCCCCGCACTCAGCCCCGCAAATGCAGTGCTCAAGTGCTCCCTGCACCTGTCTACCGAACTTCGGAGCTGTCCTTCAATTATATAGCACACCCGCTGTGCTCTACTGGAGCTGGGCTGAGCTGAGCACTGCTGAATTCTAACTGGAGCCCAGCTCATACACTGCTAGAACTTTACTTCTCGAGAGATAGACAGAGAGAGAGAGAGAGAGAGAGAGAGTGAGAAAGAGAGAGTGAGCAGGGCAGCGCTTAAATGTGGATTCTGTCTGGTATTTCAATTATGTCTTTAAACTCGGTATCTTATACGAGACTCACGGCGCATGATCAATCGAAATGATATAATTATATCCCAGAGCCGCTGGGCTCTGTGTAAATTGATATCAACAAATTACGCGAAAAAATTTCGAAAATATTAACGAATGTGAATGATATAATGATGAGATGACGATTGTGGAAGACACTGAGCAAAAATAATAATAATAATAATAACAGGGATATAAGAAATAACCATTATAGAAAATAAAAAAAATGTATAAATTTGTTAAAAAGTTGTCTTAAATGTTACAATTGGTGAATATTAAAAATGCTGAAATATGAAATTAATTATTAACAAAAAAAAACTTTTACTGGACTCCCAATTCCCTTCACTTTATCGAAACTTAATCGAATTTACAACAGACTCAGATCCAAATTTGTCCTAGTTTAATGTGAATTCTTAATGTTAACTAAAACATTATTAACTGTCTCGTTAATGTTTTTGTATATTTAAGTTGTATTCTTAATATTTAATAAAAAATTATTTACTCTTTCCTTATAGCTTGTTAGATAAGAATTCTTGCAGTGTATTGGCTCCCCTAATTATGCCCAATTTAAAAAGGGTTAATTAAGGCACAAAACGCAGCACACGAAATGTCCCCATCCGGGGCGTTATTAATATGCGACATTTCTGATATCTTTTTGCCCCAAAGGCATGAGACATGGCAGACGGGCAGACGGACAGACATAAAGGTACTAAGTCTGAGAGTCCTTCTGTGCGATCAATGCTACAAAATATATACAATAATTACATACAGCATTTGTCATAACACCAGATATGGACACAATGCTTGTTGCTGTTGGCCTGGCTGTTGGTTTGGGCGCGAATGGCCAACAGATCGGCTCCGGGCCAGGCCCAAACTATGCGACAAATGTACGCAAAAAATTGTAAATATCATCATCGACAACGTCGCATCAGCATCAGCAGAAGATCTTATGAGGGGGGCGGGGGGAGTGAGCGAGTGCTTGGTTAGGATGCCTACGAGCTAAAATGATGGGCATTTTATAAATAAAACAAAATCATAAATGATGCGCCTGCCAGAGGCAAGGACAGCCCTCAGATCTGACGGTTCCAAGTCACAGTTCGTTGGGCTTGGCGGGAGATTCGGGTGCTATAATAATTACAGCTGGAACGTTGGGGCCTTGGGGCAATGGGTAGACATTTCGCGCCGGAATTCGGAGCATTGTGTCATATTTAATACAGAAATTTTAATTAAACATAATTTGTAAGGACTGCACGTTTTTGCCAAACCAGAGCCCTTCACCTGCCCCGCTCAATAAGCCAGTCGGAGGAGCATGTCTGCGAGTATTCCCCAGTTGTTTTCCTCTGATTGCTCGTTGGCGATAGCTTTGGCTTATGCTTGAATAGAGTAATTTATAGCACTTTATGGCCAAGGCCCACATTGAATGACAGCAACCTGTGTCTAGCATTCTCAAAGAATGCCTTTGATCATATCGCAGGTCCATCGATTGAGCGATAACAACTGCAACCTGACATGCAAGTCCCATGAACCAGACAAATGGGGAACTAATATCCTAGACTATCTAACTATTTCTGTAGAAGTCTCGGTTGTGCGAAGCAAAAGAGCAGATTGATAATTTAAAAGCTGGCAGGCAAATCCCTTTTAAGTGAATACTTAAAGTGTATTCGATTGCCAACATAGTTTTTTTTTATATAATATTTATAATCAAAGCCAGTAGGGCTTACTTGAATTCATGAGAATCACATAGAAAGGCAATATTTAAAAATACGTTTTTTTTTATAATTTACAGCATAGAAGAAAGTACACCTGGTCTGCGCTAGCTATACGAATCATACAAAAATACAAAAATAAGTTTTTATCTTTAAGCTTACAGCATTACCTTTCCACTCAAACTTTTCCAACTACATTGACCCGCCATTTGCAGAGCAGCCAAACATTCGAGGACAAGCAAAAGACCTTCCTTAATAAAAATAGGCAGCGGTTTAAACCATAAGGAAGCGGGTGCCAACGAGCAACTGCTGGTTAAAGCTACCTAATAGAGCTACACTAGACGGGTGGGGTCCAGCCCGTAAGCTGAATGCGTGTGATTTTTTCAAATGATTTGAACTAGTTCACAATGTTGACCCTTCGCTTGAGCCGCTTGCTGCATGGAACTGGCCAGTTAGAGGCCAGTCGCAGGCCACTTCTTGTCTGGCTGCCTACCAAATTGAACTCGGTTTGGTTGGCTCATCGCCGGGGGCCGCATTACATTTGCAAGACAACAATGGGCATTTGGCATTGGCAACTGCAGCGGCGTTGGGCGTTTTTATTTTTACAGATATTGTTTACTATTTTCCAAAGCCTAGGCCAGTTCCAGCTACAGCGTCAGCCTCAGCTCCAGCTCCAGCTACATCTCTAGCTGCAGCTTGAGGTCCAGCTCGTTTCAGATTGTGCTCGGCTGTGCCCTCTCATTGTTGTGCGGCTGCTCCAATCATCATTTTTGTAGATATTCGCTTGGTGATATATTTTGGGTGAGCGCTTCCGGCAAATCGGCGCTGCTGCGGTGCAGTGAAAGGTCAACTTGCGGCCAGGAGAAGCTGAAGCAAACTTCTGCCTGTTGCTGCTGCTGCCAGGGAGCTTGAGATTCGTGTGGCAGCCAAATAAACAAATCAAAGTGAGCAAATGTTTTGTCTCTGCCCCCGTCTCACTCTTTCTCAATCGCTCTCTCTCCCCCTGTCTCTATCTCTGTTGCATTGTGTTTGCGGTATGTGCTCAATTTTCTATAACATATTTGATCGGCGCGATCTTTGCGATCGCCTGACTTTCCATTTTCCACTTTTACAGCTTCGTGTGTGTGAGAAAAACTTATCGAATCGTTGCTATCAACGCCGCAAACGAACCCAACCAAAGGGAAGCAACAGCCTCAAATTAAGCTCAGGTGACCAAAGGCCAACGAGCTGACAAACCTTGGAATTTTTACCGCACGATCGCAGTGCAAAATGGTCACGGATTAGAGCATTGCAGAAGTGCCATATGACAGCAGCTCACAGATAAACGGCTTTGACATGCCGTTTCCAGATCTTAATTTGCTGATCTACAGTCCACACTGAAGCGAATTATATTTCCCAAAAACAAACTGTCCGCCAAAGGTTTAAGGTTGAGCGATCAAAACAGGACTTTGGACTGGGACATCCGAAGGATTTGTTAGTTGATCTTTGACTGAAAGACTGAAGCGGAATTTCCACAGCGAAGGGTCTTTAATAATTAGTCATCGATCTATAGATCCTCTAAAGGTAAGTTTAGGGTAATAGGTAGACCTGACTAATTGAATGCTGGAAGCATATTAATGTCTGATCCATAGCAGGAGCTCCTACGCTAATGTAAGTATTAGGACCCAGTTAGTACACTTGGTGTCTAGGCTCTTAATAGTTGCTCTCCTTGAATGAGATGGTCAGCGATCTGCATCAAAGTCTCGCATGTCTACCAGTGCTTTCCCAAAACAAATCCCGTCCCAGACTCCCACACAGCCCCGAACACAACCACACACCCACATTGGCAACAGACATCAAACAATGATCACGAGTGATGCTGCATTGTGGTGCGGGTGCGGTTGCGATCGTTGCCCAGTTGCCAGTTGGTAGATCGATGCTGCCTGCCTATTGATGATAGTCAGCCTCGGCTTGGCTTTGAACGCCCTAAGGGCGTTGCGATTGAACTTGTTCCACATTTTGATTGTAATGCCGTTAGAGAGAGAGAGAGAGAGAGAGGGAGACGAACATTTTTTTGGCTGTATGGGAAAGCTGGGAGGGCAAGACAAATATGATTTTCAATTTGCTGTGATCGCTTTCACAAGATTTGCATTCCATTCCGGCTGACCATTAAACACTTGAGCAGCTTTAGTCAAAGTTCAATACGGGGTTCAACTGGATGAACTAACAGAGCTCTCTCAACCAACAGCGTTTTGATGGCCCATTAAATCGTCAAATGGAAACAGCCGCTGCGAGTACTCCAGTTGAAAACTGCAGCACCACAAATCAAAATATTTATGGCCCAAGCGAATAAGAGCCGAAGAGCTGAAGAGCTGGAAAGCCGAACACAACCGTAGAGGCTAA